AAAAAAAAAAAAAAAAAAAAAAAAAAAAAAAAAAAAAAACTAAAGTGCTGCTGTCATGAATACAATAATCTTAACAAGCTGCGAGAGAACACTGGTTTTAATAAAAGGAAAATATAAGATTTCAGTAGTAATGCGAATAAATTTTCAGTAACTAAAGGGGAAACCGAATCTACCTGTTGCTCTTTGAGGTCGAAAACCAACCCCCTGTCCTTCTTTTGAATTTCGAACGACTTGAAAGCAGCTGAGCTCGATCTTCCTGCCTCCCCTCGACCTCCATCAGGTGGAAGGTAAGCTCTCCTATCCTTCCCCGCATCCGGAAACCTCTTTTGAGATAGAATCTCTACCTACAATTAACACGGTTATGAGTCACAAATTAAAATACAGCAGTAAAGAAGCGACAAAACGTCATATGATCTGTTTGGAATACCCCTCCTATCCCCCGACCAACAGGGCGCCGGTAGAGAACCTGTCGTCTCGAGTGGGGCGGATTGTCATACAAGGAGAAGAAGGGGGCCGCTGCTCGCGATAAGGAGGAATACAGCGTAAAGGCAGGAGAAGAGCACGAGGGAGTGCATAGAACTGCTGACATGGCCGCTGCCACGCAGATGAAGACGAATGCGGAGAAGAAAACGCTGATGTATAGGAGGAAGAACGTGGCGGCCGGCCTCTGTGTGCGAGGAGAGCTTTGCCCTTATCCTTATTTTGCGCGGCTCCCGGTCCAGCGTCGGAACTGAACTAGCGCGAAGTTTATTGTATGCATAAAACTAATCATTAAGCATTTAAAAATATTAAATTATAAATAAGGAAGCAATCCTTCTAAAAATTAAATTTTCAATATTATTATTTTATTAATTCAAAATAGTAGTAGGAATTTATTTTATTTTTTTATATGAATCAAGTCTCTTCATTCAAAATTATCTAATATTTAATATAAGGGGAATTTACATGTATATCAGTATATGCACCATAAAATTCTTTTGCATTTATATAAATAACTTCTAATTTTTATATTTAGTTATATAGCATTCAAATATATAAATCACATAAAAATATCATTAATATTAATTTATTTAAAATAAATTATATATTTTATTGAATATGCTTTTATATGATTTAGACAATATAGTGATATATGAATTATAATTTTCTTAAATATTCATGACTGTAGATATAAGTATTTAATATTTTAGCTATGTATGAAAATAAAATTTTAGTTGCAAGAGACTAATTTTTTCCTAAGAATATCCGGTCACGTTACCAGAAAAAATATGATATTTTGTTAGGTGATTTTTCTTGCGGACTATTTTTAAGTATTTTCATGAGTATGCTGATATTTCTAAAAAATGTTATAGAAATTTATAATAAAACACTTCAAAATAATGCTATGGATGTTCTTTATAAATGGTTCTTTGAATTGTAATTGTCAAAATGTGTGCACAAATTTCTTCTAAAAAAACGACTAGTCACTCATAAAGGTACATTGAAAGCGTAAATACTCCCATATTTTTGTCTCTAAATTGAGAAGCAAAAGGGAAAAAAGGTGGACAACTCGCTACTGCTAAATTCCTAGCATTTCTTCTTTTTTGTAGTATGTTTTACTAGTTACACAAATTGAATATACATATTATAAAAATATTGATGTTTTTATAATAATATTTATAAATTTCAATGTTATGATGACTTTATATTGACATATATGGACATGTATGCTAAGGAAAAATATGATGTTTGTCACTTATTTGTTTGAAAGTGGTCATAAAAAGGGAAAGGATGGTATCTTTATGTTCTAATGTTGAGATGTATGAGTGATTTATTCTTGATGCTTATGTGTATTTTATTTATTTTGTAATTTGTTCTATTTTATTTATACATGTTGTAAGTTCTGCCATCTTTGTGCTTGAATTATGTGTGACAAACATAATGAAAATGCTAATTGTTAATGGTAAATATTTCACATGTATATATAAGTGGAGGCATAAGGGTATATCGGTATATGTAATTGTCCCTATTTCATTGATATGCTAAAACAAATGTGATATGATCAAATGGATGTATAAGTGAAATTGGAAATATAAGAAGCCATCAAGAATTGTGAAATGTGAACTTTGAAAGGACATGTATAAATGGAGGTATAGGTGGAAGTTGAGGTGTAAGGAGGGTATAGAAAATATGAAATGTAACATGTGAAGGGACATGCATACAAGTGCAGGTATAAGAGCTTATGCATTTATGTAATTGCCCCTATGTACATTGATACACTTAAATAAAATGTGATATGATGAAGTTGAGGTATAATAAGTCATAAAAACATTGTGAAATATGAAATTTGAAGAAACATGCATACAAATGAAGGTATAAGTAGGCATCGAAAAATGTGAAATGTAGGGGTGTCAATAAATAATCCAACCCGCCACCCATCTAAAAAAATTCGAGTTCGGCTTGACCGGTTTAAAAAACAGGTCGGATTTGGGTTAACATGTGAACCCACTTTTTACCCAAAAATTACCGTTTGTTTTTTTTTTTTTTTCTTTTTATTCTTTTTATATGTGGTTGTAATCTTATTATTTTTACTAAGATATCATATGTTTTATAGTTAATAAGTTATGAAAATTTTTTAACAAAAATGGGTTCGGATTGATGTTTTTAACATATTTATTAAATGAGTTAGATTCTGGTGTTAACTAGATTTGTGTCAGATCAATCTCGAATTGGACCCGAACCCGACCCATCAACCCTTTTTTACACCCCTAGTAAAAAAATGTGAAAGTTGATGTTTGATATGTGATATGTAAAATGTGCTATGCAAATGTGAAATATATTTTGATTTATATGTTACATATTATATCTCATCATCTGTTTTGTTATGATATCAAGTGCATGTTCAAGTGATGTTTATTTTGTTGCCACATTCAAGTTTAATAAAGCTTTATTATTGCTCTTGACATATTCATAGTGTTGATAGGTGACTACTCTTGACACTATATATATTATTATAATAATATCAATGATAAAACATTGCACAAATACTATATTGCTTGAATTAAAATTGTACTAACTTCATGTTTAAATAATATTTTTGCTCTTGTGTAATTTATTTTAAATGATGAAAATTGAATTCTTTTGAATGTTTCGAATAGCCCACCAAGCAAGTGTTTACCCATCATACATTATTTGCATGTCATTCCAAGAAAGGGTAAGACTCCAACTAATTAGAAAAGATTTGATAATTTCAAAGTTCATACTATAGGTATGTTTATGTTTATTGATATTTTTCAATAATATGTATATTAAAGGTTGTTGGGATATTATGGGAGAATGGGGGGGCAACTGATATATCATCAAAGAATTATCTTGATCAAGCATGAATCTCGAGGCAATTTTGAATTGCAAACTTCTAAAATTAAATCTGAGACCATCTGAACTCCGATTTCAGCAAACTTATAGTTAAACTGAACATCTCAAAAAGATGAACCGAACAACACCAAATTTGACCCAATCTGAGCCTGAATGGGTCCAAATCAAAGATCAGAAGTGCATTTTAAAGGTTCAAAACAAAAATTTGATGACCAAACGATTTTCAAATGTGATATGTTTATAGTCGAATTGAGCGGCTATATGAGACAAATCCAAGATCAACAAATTTTGACATTATTAAGGTACTCAATTTCTTGTTAAACCACCCATAATTAATGGAGTCGATATCGGTCGTCTATTCAAAACACTCCAACATACCCTTAATCTTTTCTCTATTTTATTGGTCATGCAACTCTAAAAAAACTATAAATAAACCCCTTATTATTCATATAGGGGATGGAAAAAAGGGGGAGAAAAGAAGAGAGAAATGGAAGAAAAATTATAGTTCTCTTGTCGCCAGATTCTTCATCGACCACCACTCGTCCACTAACCCTCGCTGGACTTTAACTAGATTTTCTCCCTGCCACCAATAGTAGTCGGACTTCAGCCCGACCACTAGCTGTTGCCGGACTTTCGCCCAGCCACCAACTAATGCTAGATTTAAGCCTGTCCACTGGCCGTTGTTGGACCTCCGCCCTTCCATCGATCGTCATTGAACTAATTCAACCTAGCCACCAAATAACACTAGATTTACACTCGACTAGTAGCCATTGTCGGACTCCTGTCCGGCCACCAACTGTCATCTGAATGCAGTCATTCAGACCCATGTCACCCAATTATGGTCATTTCGACTACTGTTATCCGACTATGGTCTTTAATACCTACGTTGCCCAACTACAATCCTTCTAACCACCGTCACCAGATTATGGTCTTTTCAAGCATCATCATCAAACTATGATCCTTCCAACCATCATTGCCCGACTACGGTCTTTCTGACCTACAATCGCCTGGCTATAGTCCTTTTAACTACCGTCTCCCAACTACGATCCTTTCAACCACTGTCGCCCACCTACGGTCCTTCCAACATACATCGCTTGCCAACTATGATCCTGCTTACCAACGAACAAGCCAACACTAATTCATCCAACTCCCACCATATAATATACTATATATCATGTATATTTGTTACATAAAGCCGATACCTGCCCCCTAAGGAAATGTCTCATTTGTAATCGACTGCAAACACTAATGATTCATTCCAACTGGGCCAGACCCCATAGTTTTTCCATCTTTTCAAGAATTTTCATGTAAAAACATTGGTGTTTTATGAATACTACACCCCTCTCTTTTATCTAATTATGTGATGAATCTTCGTACAATGCTATGACACAAAATTTTATTTTTCTCCACCGCTGCAAATATTCCAGAATGCAACAATATATGTGTATGTTCATTGTTGTATAGACAAAATTAGATGGCTTTGTGTTGTTAATTATGGATGAAATAAAATAGAATTATGAATAATTAATCCAATTAGATATTATGTATTGACAGGGGTTTGTTTATAATTTTGATAGATTCATTTTCATAAATTTAGCAAAAAAATCAGAAACATTCTATTGAACAATCCAGAGTGATACTCCTTCAATACTTGATATTTTGTGAATACTTTCGTACCTTAATGATGTCAAAATTAATTGGTCAAATACTCATTGGAATTATCTCATAGAGACGTATGCTATTTACTATAAACATGTTGAAATCAATTTCTAAAAGTTTCTAATTGCATATCTAATACTTAATTTGGGCTCATTAAGGTCAAATCGAATCAGTTTTGGCATCGATGGATTCTTCTCGTTGAGACATGTTGTTTGACTATAAATATTTTAACATTAGAATTCAAATAAACTTGAACATTATTTTTAAAAATTCCAATCCGAATATTGTCTTGAGAATCACGCTCAATAAAATAGATTTTTAGATGATGTATGAAAAATATAAAAATGTACTTGTTAGATACGTAAATACATATGAGTGTTTTGATATATATGTAAATCCAAAAAAAACAAGTATATTGATGCATGTGTTTGAATTAGAAATTGTTTGAATAGACTTTGGGGCCATTAGAACCCTATTTTTAGTATAGTTCTAATTAAAGTATTTATCTAATTGAAACAAATCCAATGAGCTCAAATTTGCCCAAAATTTACATCTTTAACAGACTTAACACAAATTGTCTAATTGAGTGTTCAGATTTATGTTCAAATGACAAAATATCACTATGCATGTAAATATAAATAGGCTAAAATTTTCATTAATTTAAGTCGATTCTCGGATGAGTTAATGAGAAAAATTCCATATGAGAGAATATAAAAGCTTTATCTAA